ATGTATATACAATAATATATACGTATATGTGCCCCTGCAATTTCAGATGAGTAGGCATTTGTGGCGCCTTGTGTGCACACTAATGTAAAGGTTTGCGATTGCAGGATTAACAAAAAGATCCCGCGGGGACCTCCGTCTCCGCCCGCGCCCGTCATGCATTCCCCCACGAGAAAGGTGACGGTGAAGGAGCAAAAGGAATGGAAAATTCCACCGTGCATAAGCAACTGGAAAAACGCGAAGGTATCTGCAAATATTTTATGCCTAATGTCAATTTCAAGACGAGATAATATTGAGATATTAGTTTGATACATTCGATTCTATCTAGAATTAAACGAAGCTGCGTTTCATTCCAGGGTTACACAATCCCGTTAGACAAACGTCTCGCCGCTGACGGTCGGGGCTTGCAACAGGTTCACATCAACGAGAACTTCGCCAAGCTAGCGGAAGCTCTTTACATCGCTGACAGAAAGGCCCGTCAGGCTGTCGAAATGCGCGCGCAATTGGAAAAGAAATTGGCGCAGAAGGAGAAGGAGAAGAAGGAGGATCACTTGAGGCAACTCGCGCAAAAGGCCCGAGAAGAGCGCGCCGGCTTGAAATCTGCCGCGACGTTAGGTTTGTGCAATTGTCATTTTACATGCAAAATAAACAGTAATGAAAGGAATATTCCTGATAGCATTGAACTGAGACGTAACTATTTAAGTGAGCTGAAGCAATGTTGTCTTCCTCTCGACAGATAAGTCCGAAGAGTCGCGCGAGAGGGACCAGCTCAGGCAGGAGCGGCACAAGGATCGCGCTCGCGAACGTAATCTGGCTCGCGCCGCGCCTGACAAACGCTCCCGCTTGCAACGCGAACGCGAGCGCGACATTAGCGAGCAAATCGCCCTCGGCTTACCCGCAAAGAGCATTCCCAGCACGGGAGAGGCGCAGTTCGATCAGCGTCTCTTTAATACCAGCAAGGGAATGGACAGCGGTTACGGGCACGATGACGAGTACAACGTCTACGATAAACCGTGGAAGGATGGCAATTCTATTGCCTCGCACATTTATCGTCCTAGCAAGAATATTGACAAGGATACGTATGGAGACGATTTGGAGAAATTAGTTAAAACAAACAGGTGAGAATATTTTTGTGATTTTGTCTGCAGTAATATTTTTAATTCGTATAATTACGAGTAGATCTACATAAATTGTCGTCATCAATTTAAAGCTATTGTCGCTTGTTTCTTATTGTAGATTCGTTCCTGACAAGGAATTCAGTGGAGTCGACAGGTCAGTCGCGCGATCGGGACCAGTGCAGTTTGAGAAAGACGAGGAAGATCCCTTCGGTCTGGATCAGTTCTTGAAACAGGCTAAGCGCGCCAGTAGCTCAACCACGACAACAACAAAGCGCAAAGATGAACGCGAACAGCGTAGGGACGATCGTGAAAAACGTAGGAAGCATTAAGTGTGCTTAATTCTTTCGCGCGAGGTATTCTTAACAAGTTTATTCCACGTTATGGGGAAAAGTAAATGATTAAAAACATAGGACATGTAACAACATTTATTTTTATTTATGTACCGTACACTGAGAAAAATTTTTTGTATTTGTAACTTTATTTGCAAAATGCTATAATTATGATTATTACTACTATAATATTAGTAATAATAATGATATGCTTAGTTTTATCCACAGATTTTGATATTTACTATAAATTATAGTTGAATAATTGTAATTGCAACCATTTTTATGGCAATAATAACTATAATATATAGTAATTTTCAAAATTTATTGATGTCAACTATATATATTTGTTGATAAATCTGCATATAATTATTATTACTAATGTTATAGCAGTAATAATCATAATTATAGTACTTTGCAAATATAGTTACACATACAAAAAATTTTGTTTAGTGTATATATAAATAAAAGACGTAATACTTTTTAAATATAATTCATTATTAATTATTGTAAAAATGTACTACAATTTTGTTTTGAAAAGTTACGAAATAATGGGCAATACACGAATTTCATCATCGCACTAGAATCATGGACCGCATTTTAAGTGTTCTTATTTTTATTTAGTATAAATTTAGAAAAAAAGAATTTTGTACAGCACATGAATCATACTAATAAATGTTGCCATGTTATTGTACACTTCTTTTTAATAAAGTAAAATTTCCGTGAAGAATATGGTAGCATAATGTGCATGAAAATTTGAACCTCTATCCGCAACTTCCCGTTCTATTTTTATTACTAGCTTCAAGGAAAAGCAAACGCGTTTAGCATTTTAATAAGGAAGCTTCACAACGAACTTAATACCCAACTGTATATAGGAGAGAGGACTTTATAGATCGTTTTACGAGCGAAAATTATTACTTTCTTTTTCATTTATCTTGGATTTCATCGCAGAATAATGCAATGTGTTACACATTTCCTTGTTTTTAATCATCAAGTATTTATTCCCGTTGTAACGTCGAATGAATTTTTAACTTGAACGATACGATACTGAGAAGACGCGATTATATATAAATATAAAATATATAACTGAGGAAGAAGTTCATCTTTGAATCTTTATTAAAGAAACCTAAATCCGATTTAAATAGAATTAATAGAAGGAAAATATTTAAATCGGCGATTCAAAAGATGATAGATCTCTGAATTTCGTATCTGAAGGGACCGAATCAAGTATATATTTCTTTTTCAATTTTTACGTGGAACAGATTTAATCGACCCATATATCTTTTTATGCGATGTAAAGAGAAATTCTCGCGCAACAGACGTACGAATGTCGCAGCACCAAGCGGCATTATACTATTTCGATCGATTGGTAATCTTCGTGCCCTCGTGCCAAATTTGACATTGGTTACCCGCGGACGCGAGCCGCTGTCTTCGAAATTGAATAAAAAGCCAAGCCCGAAGGTCCCCCTCGCGCGGCCGCAAAAGCTAGTAACAAACAACAAATCCACCGCGCATTTGCACCAGCCTTGGAATGTCGATCAGGAGCCGTTGGATGTTTGGCCGGTTTGAGGAATTTCCACGGTTTGGCCGTTCGCCAATCGGTATAGCGCGAGCATGCCGACGCGCTCCGTTCCAAGCTATTAACTTACCATATTCGAGTGCCGCCGTTTGACTGCGAGATGGACGTGTGTCTCGACCGAAGAAGTGCGCGGCTGACCAAAACCGGTTTTGCCTACTGCGTCGTCCGCGTCGAGCAGGCACCGCGGCGGCAAATATACACATATATGATATATAGTCATTGAAAATATTTGAAGGACGAAAGATCTATCACTTTTTACGAAAATCGAGCATCCGGTTTATTTTATTGCCGAATATTTTTGTACGTGATATGTTTTTCAGCATGTAAAACGTATTTTACAGCGAATTTTTTCCCCGTAAAAAAAAGGATCCCTCTGTCTCTGTCATTTTTTCATTTTCCTAAGTAGCAAATATGAACAAACAATAAAATTCACGGTATACAAATACTTTGATGATAAAATAAGCTCTTGCTTTTTTTTTATGAAAATAGTATCTTCGTGTGTTCTCTACGATTATTCGTCACTCGTGTCGACTTGATGCGGGCGGCACAGATATACAGTCGACTCGGGTCGGCCGCGTATCTCTTTAGTCGAAATATATTCATCTCGCGATTAAACAGTGATTTGGGGCGACGATATTCAGATGTAATAATATACAAACAATCTCTCTATAATGAAAATAATTTTTAAAATAAACGCAAATGTAATTACTCTTAATAAAAATAATAATTTTAAAAATACAGCTTTAACATCTGGCTTTGTTTGCAGCTTTATTAATCTGGACATATTTTTCCATAAAGAGATCGGATTTTTCTCCGTGTTTTCGCGGGAGTTTTATGACAATTCGCGACGTGCCGACAGCTAGCGGATCTTCGGCATGCGAGAAAAACGATGAGGATCCCGGCGCGATCGGATAAACGTATCGGTATTTTTAGTAACCGTTTCCGACATCGAAGCCTAACATCTCGCGCGCGTGTGTGTGTGTGTGTATGTGTGTGTATGTGCGATGTTACTCATCGTCTCGCGTGTCTCGCCTTGACGCTTTACACGCTACTTTTAACGATCTCATTACTTAACATCCGGTCACGGGAGAGCAATGCCTCGTTTCCGTTTGCGCGAGAGAAATCTTCTCCGAAGCAAAAATCCGGCGCTTCTGTGCTGTTTCGCGTATATACACAAAGTTAAATTACTATGTGCAAACACATGTATAACGCACGCACGTAAGCACAAAGTTCCCGAGGAAGCATATATATTCGCACGACGATTATGAGACGAGCGCGCGGATTCCCTGCGAGGCCGGAAATTGCATCGGTCTCGCGAATTGCAGTACGAAAACAGCGCGCGACATTTTCGAGTGAAAAATATAGCGTGTCGTGCTCGCGAATGAAGATTTTCCTCTGACGATCGATTGACGACGGACTTTTCTCGACATGGCCAAACGATGTCCATTGAATTTTTGAATTCCCCGAACGCCCTGGACGGCTGGACGGGAAGATTTCGCGCGTCTGTGTCACGCATATGTCAGAGGCTAATGTACCCCATTGTACAGCATGCAGCAGCAGCAGCAGCAGCAGCGCGTGCGTTAGAGCTCAACTCCAAATTTCCCGAGTTAATGCCATTCGAGAGCGCGCATTAAGCCGTATAAGCTACAACGCAGCTTTAATCCTGGAGCGCGTGACCTATTTTTCGCGCGCACATAAATGCAAATGAACGTAAGTGGGTCCAAAAATCCTCGAACACCACCGCCAGAAACTCCGGTGAAACGCGCGCGATGTACATATTTCAAAATTTCTCACATTCCGCGTACGCATATATTGTACATATCTCTATACGTCGAGCACGCGCGAGCATCATCTCGCTCAGCCATCGCTCTCGTAAAATTATCGCGTTGCGATCATCCTCGCGGCGTTACATATATATACGGATGAGCGAGCGGATCGGGACGAGACCGCGGCGCCGGCGTCTTAGCCGAAAAATTACCCCCGTCACGCGAGAGATCTATTTTTCAGAACGGATAAAGGGGATCTTCGCGTCGGATTTTTCCACCACAAACCCGCCCGGCGCGACCCAATTACCGCATTTCCCAATTAAATCGGGAAGCTTTCGCGCGCGCTCGGGAAGAGATCGCGCGAGCTTTTCTCGGCCGGGGTATATCGCGACTGTACGCGCGAGAAAGACAGGGAGAGAGAGAGAGAGAGAGAGAGAGAGGGAGAAAGAGGGACGAGCCGAAAAGCAGGGAAATATCGTATAGTTATTTATAAGCTCGGCGCGAGGGTCGGCGCTTAACCTTGCCCGACGTGGACCGTCAGGCATGTCACCTAGCCGTTTTATTACGACTGTGCTCCCCGCTCGAAACGTAGTTCCAATTGGGTCAGGTCCACGTCTGCTTTTCGGAGCGTTTCGCTCGGAGCGAGCTGCTGCCGACAGTACGTATAGCTACGACGGCGAATTAAGCTCGCGCGTCCCTTGGTCCCTCCCCCCCTGCACTGCATGGCTCGATAATACGCCGGTAATAATTTATTACGACGCTTCAAACGGGCCTTCGTCTGCCAACGACTGCATTTTGTACTTTCAAATGAATGGCGAATCTCCGAGATGACTAAAGAGAATTTCGCGACCAAAAAGTCTTATAATATTTTCACTATTTCAAGAAACTAAAATATGACGTGGACAATTAAATGCATTTTTCTACATTCGTAATTTTTATAATATTAACTGCTTACATGTATTTTAATATTATTTTGATATATTAAAAATTTTAATGATTGAACACTCACGATATTTTAGACTTATAAATCGATAAAAACTGTTTATAGCATTCATTATAGCTTGTGCCAAATTACTGCTTATTTTTCCATTATACTGTTAATTTGAAATTTTGCACAAAATTTACAGAAGGAAATTTTCTTGCCAGAAAGAAAAATACTTTGTACATCATGACGCATAATTATATTTTTTAAGTCCGTTTATATCCACGTTCTTTCTTCTGTGAAGTTTTATTTTAAATAAAATTAGTATGATCTTTTCGCTTCCCTAGAAATAAAACTGGAAAACTTTCTTTCTAATAGAAAAAATATTATATTGAAGCAAATGGTGACTGTCTTTATTAATAGAGTTATCTCGAATAATACATAATTTTGTTCGCTACTTTATTTCACTTTACTTTCCAAGCCTCTTTAATACGAAAATTCGTTTGACCTTGGTGAGTGTAATGTGTCTTACATTAAGCCAACAGCTAAGTTTTCTTTCTACTCCCTTTTATTATTTCTTCTTATGGGTAACGCGAGAACGATGTAAATTATCTTAATCGTTAATTTTCATTTGTTAATGCATTTGTATGGTAATACTCGCATTTATCTGACGACGCGAACCGTCGTCGGAAGATTATCGATCCGGATAATTTACTTGGACGAGCCGTCTCTAACAATAGAACGAAACTGTAAGTTTAATTGCACCCTAACTTTCGTTGCGACACTGTATCGTGTTGCAATTGCGTTGGAAGATCACAATTG